ATTTTAATACATTCCTAGTTGGTTACATGTATTTTTTTTGGGTTCAGAAAAATGTAAATAACCAATTTTTAGAAGTTTGATGATTATTTTATTGAAAAAAATGTTTAAGGACTTAGGCCTTGTTTGTTTTAAAATAAATCTTTTATCAACCTCTTATGTCTGATTCTTCAAAAGATAGGGTCATGCAGACTGCTCTTTTTATCCAATTTTTCAAAGGCACTTAAGTTTTATTATCCTATTATCTGGTAAGAGGTAAACCAACCTCTCTCTATATTGTTGTTCTTCAAACTCTCAACAACGACATTTCTCAATCGATTAAAACTTAATCGACCATTTCTCTCAGTCGATCATTGCCAAATCAATCATCACCTCTCTCAATTGATGTATTTTAATAGGATTTAAATGTGTTAAATATTATTCGTGACATATTTTTATTTAAATGAATGCTAATTATATAATTTAGATGTAAATTCCGTAATGATGATCAATAAATATGTAAAAGTATATAAACTTATCTATAAATTTAACACTATAATTTTTTAATGGGTAAATTAGATAATTTAAACAAATTCAGACATTTATTAGTTTACAAAAGAAACTGTCATATGGATTCAGTTTTCAGACTTCGGCATCACCTCTTTATCAATTAGAAGTGAAATAAGATTTCAGACTTCGGCATCACCTCTTTATCAATTAAAAGTGAACTAAGATTTAAGACTTCATCAACTCTTACAAAACAAATGCCACCGTAATCATTCAAAATGAAAAGGTTCAATGGTTTTCTCATTCAAAAAAAAAAAGAGTTCAGAGACTTAATCATTCATAATGTGAAAGTTTAATGATTTTTTTATCCATAAAAATAGTTCAGATATTTAGTTATTTAAAATGGGATAGTTCGATATGTTTTTTTGAAATATATATGTGTGTGTGTGTATGTGTGTGTGTGTGTGGGGGGGGGACATTTTTTTAAGAATGTGACAATTTATGGGAATTATGAGGTCCATTTTAAGCAACTAAATAATATTAAATTTAGAATTATAAATTTTTGTAGTTAGAATTAAAAAATTAAATAAAAGACATTTTGTGTATTTATAAATATCTCCCCTCCTCCCTCTTCTCTCTCTCACTTCTCCTTCTTTGTCCCTAACTTGTTCGAACACTTCCACTCCAATTTTTGTGAACACAATGTGGACAAAAAACTGTATTTAATCGGGTTTATCGGTTATAAAATCCAGGGTTGTTTTCAAGTAATGGTGAAAAGTTAAGGGGGTTAATTTGATTATGTGTTCAAAATATTTTAATCAACCTCACCGCCTCTTACTTTAAAATATAAATATGTTTCTTTTATTATTTCGGGGTTGTTGAAGGAGATAAATAATAGAAAGAAGAGTGTGTATGTGTGTGTGCGCGCGCGTCTTTCTCGTTCGGATCAAAACAGAAACAGAAGAAGTAGAAGAAAAAGAATATGCCTAATTGATTATTATCTGAAATTTTTGTTGTTGTTTATCATCTTCATCTACTGTGTTTTACAAGGTGAGTATTATTTTAAAAGCGTCAATTGATTTGCTTTTGGTGAAGAAACCGCGTGGTTTCATATTTGAGATTTGAAGGTGTTTATATGCTAATTATTAGCATAATTTTGGGTTTTGAAATGTTATTATCATCTGTTTGTAATAAGAGTGGTACAATCAGGAGTTGGGTATATTTGGTAAATACGAGTGGTATAAGCAAGAGTTGGATATATTTTGTAATAAGGGTGGCATAATCAATAGTTAGGTATATTTTTGTAATAAGGGTGAAATAATCAGGAGTTGAGTATATTGGTATAAGGGGGGCATAATCAATTTCTAGAAATGAAGATTTTTGATCATTGGATATTATTATCACATCAAAATGATATGAGAAGTTGGTTATATCGCATTAGTGTGATGCGATGAATTGTGAATATCGCATCCTTGTAGTACGACATGATGGGTTTATTGCATTTATATGGTGCGACAAGTTACTGTTGTCGCATCAGTATGGTGCGACAAAGGGAGGTTATCGCATGTGTTTGATGCGATGAGTTGGTTTATCGCATCCTTCAGATGCGACAAGTGGGTTATCGCATTAATTGGGTGCGACAAAATATGTTCATTTGTATGTGTAATGCAATAGTTGATGTATTATGGATTTGATGCGACAAATTGTTTATTATATTGTTCGATGCGATAAAATGGAGTTGTCTCATCTTTTAATGCGACAAAAGAAGGTTTGTTAAATTAAATCTTATTTTATGATATCTTTAATGAAGGATATTTTTTTTTTTTTTTAAAAAGATGTTTTGGTGATTTTCACCCTGTAATGGCAATCAAAGGGATTTCATACTAGACCTCAAGGTCTAGCCCTCATTTGTATTTCAAAATGTGCATTACAGGTCGGGCACGATCAGACGATAAAGGGAAGGAAAACTTGTGAATAATTTATATTTGCGTGCATGGGATATTGGGAAGTTATGTTA